AATTGACAGAATTACTGAATGGCCTTACACGTCTCTAAACAAATATAAACATTGCATTACTTTCGAAACTGTACAGAAAACATAAAAATATTGTAACTATACTCTTCATCCTTAACTAAACACGAAGAAAAAATAACTGCATGTATTTCCACAATATGCAATAACAATAAATATTTTTTTTTCGACCCAAATTCCCTAATTGATCGTCTCGGTTCGATATACGTAAATATTTACTCTGTTATTCTCATTAAATGCAATCCAATCTTAAAAACAGCAGATGATAATTCATAATCATTTTTTGCGAAACTTAAGGTTTAACAAAAATAAAGTCAAAGGTAATGTTATCAAAATACTCCTAAGCAAACGTATTTACGGGAGTACCATTATAACTAATCATTTAATGTTACCTTACTCATTATTACTTTCTTATTATGATGATTTACTTAGTGCTTTTCCAGTTTCAGGAACTAACCTAACCCATTCTTTCGAAAAGTCAGTCACGAATAATAATAATAATGATAATAATATTACGTATTATTATTATTATTATTATTCCTATTGTTACTATTATTATTATTATTACGGTATTACTTCATTGTTGTAATAATTACACCGGTGCAAACATACTCGTAGTAATATCATGGCTATCCCTAGGCCTACTGTGTACATTTGTGTCAGTGGAACATGTAGCAAGCTTATACATATAGTACACTCACTGTACAGCTAGCCAAAGTCCAGGCTATCGGCCGGTTTGTTAAGAATTGTGCTTACCCGACCCCAAGAATATTCGTATTCTTGACATGCTTATATAAATAAAGAAATAAATGCATATTTATCAGTCTAGACATGTATATCAACCGGGCAATTAGACAGTTAAATGTATATCTATCAGATATATAGACAGACATGCCTTTATTTCTGCGTCTGTATTTACAATTATTTCTTTATTATTAACTTGATTATTTACACTTATTATTCCGAGGGGGTGTATCTATTCATTGATAATCGGTAAAACAAAAGGTATTAACGTAATAATAATATCAATAATGATAATACAAAAAACAACGAACATTAGATTATCAAAGAGTGATTCCTCACCCGCCTAACAGTCTTGCAAGGAAAATAAACAAACAAATAAACAAATACAGTCTTGCAAGAAAAAATAAAAAAACAAACATACAGTCTTGCAAGAAAAAAAATAAACAAATAAACAAAATACAGTCTTGCAAGAAAAATAAACAGAAACAGTCTTACAAGAAAAATAAAAAACAAACAAATACAGTCTTGCAAGAAAAAATAAAAAATAAAAACAGAAATACAGTCTTGCAAGAAAAATAAATAAACAAATAAACAGAAACACAGTCTTGAAAGAAAAAATAAACAAATAAACAGAAATACAGTCTTGCAAGAAAATAAATAAACAAATACAAGAAAATAAACAAACAGAAATACATAAACAAACAAACAAAAATACAGTCTTGCAAGAAAATTAAGTAAATAGATAACTAAATAATAAATAAACAAACAGAATAAGAGGGACTTACGTAACCGAGGAGTGTAGTGGGTGTAGTCCTCGGATTCTCCACTTGACGTCATCTTCATCCGGGACTCAACAAAAACGGAGAACGATCACCTTCCGGCGGCCTCGGGGTCTAATTATTATTATTTTTTTATTTTTTTTTTGCTCTAACTCGTCTTTTTATTATTTTCTCTTCACTTCTGTTTATTTGTGACGATTGTTTTTGTTTTTATGTAATTATTATTTGAAATCCTGGTGAGTATAAGGAGGATAGGTAAGTTGTATTTAGGGCTGTGAAAATATTCTTAAAATTTGTGTTCCAGTGTAGGTTCAAAAAGACATTTACTGATTTCACACGTTTACTAACGGTTAAGAGTGTTATTTACGACAAAAATACTAAATATAAAATGCCTGGACGAGTAATATATGTAGCAGCATTCCATGAAATAAAATAATCACTTAATAACTAAAACATCATATTCTCTGTTGACACCTCAAGCAGTCTCGACAAGAATGGTCTACCTTCCATGGCCCAACTGGTCACTTATCTCTTCTTATCTCTTAGGCTCCTGTTATCTCATTACTCACCTGCCCTCTTTACCTGCTAGAGTATATACCATGGCTACAGAAAGCTATCTTATCTCACGCCGAAGACCAGGATGTTTGGAAAGAGAGCAGACCACAAAATGACGTTTTTGTTATTTCCGTTTTGTCTCTTTTTTAAAATTGTATCCTTGAAGTGTGTTATCGGAGAAAATATGTGAAGGCAAACTGGTCATAGATAAATTGAGTCCAGTTGTTCTTATCGAGAAAAAAATAGGTTAAGCACACACTGATAATGGCAATACGGATGGACAAGGATATTGATAACTGTAATAAAATTTGTAGTGATCGTTGTAATAAAAGAGATATAAATGCTAGTAAAATAATAACAGGAATAGGTAATTCAACTACCAATTATCAACATAATTTGGGTACAAAAGTTACGAGTACTGATATATCTCGTGTTTGTACATCAAGCATTCATACTTATAACGTAGGATATACTACTGTGCTACTACTGTTACTACTATAATTGCGATCTTTATTCCGTTATTATTCAAATCACTGACGATGTTGAACGTACCATTAATGTAAAAAAAATGGAACAGTAAATATACGATAATTCTTTCTGTATAAGTCAATATACTCATTTTAACAAGTACAATCATTATTAACTTCGTTTTTAATTATCATTGGTAATATTATCAATACTTCCCTTGCTCTTATCAGCTTTGATCAATATCATTACTGTTATCAGTGATAATAACTGCCACGATGATAAAGAAGGATAGCATCGTTCTAATTTCACTCGTATTATCATATTATCATCATTATCAATATTTTCACTTGCCGTCGAAACTGTTTTAGGAATTAATATTACTTAATCATAGTCATCGCCATTATGTTTATGTTACTATAATCACTATCCAGTTTCTTTATCTACACAATCCTTCACATTTCCAATAGTAATAGTATTCATATAATTGCTCGTGGAGAAATCACTATTATTATGACTTGATAATAAATGCCATTTTCATAATTACACAACAGGACTCTGAGTGCATCTGTTCTGACCATTTCTTTATGGTATATATAATTATCACACGATTTATGAAAACACACACACTTTAAAAAAAAAGAATGAACACACACACACACACACACACACACACACACACACACACACACACACACACACACACAGAACAAAACGATATTTTTTAATCTAAATAAGCCACACGTACACGTCCCTCCACAACGACCGCCAGCAACGAACTGTCCAGGTCCTCGAATACCCATTGGCTCTCTCGTTAACTTATCTGTATTTAAACATTAAAGGCCGTTGGTCCGGTGACGAAGCCATGGCCACTGCGACGATAAGGGAGATAACAATAACGTCTCATACAAGATCTGCACATGGGTGTTCGAAACAGGACATGAGATTAGGTTGACTGGACTTCCTCCTGCGACGAAAAATTCCGCGGAAATTTGAAAAGATTAACTGATTTTTTTTTAAGCGTTTAGGAAATGATCGAGATTAGATTGGCGGGAATATTGATGTCGAAAAAAATTACGCGGAAATTAAAAAATCACTTATACTTTTGCGTCAGTTTTGTATTGAGAAATATTGAGAATATATCGGCTTTACTTCGTTTTTTTTCTATTTCTTTATTTTTCACGTTCTAAAAAATAAATTAATGGAAATAGGAAAACCCTGTTTGAATCGACTATATCCAACGGAACCAAGAGTATTAATAGGTAAATATATTCTCTAAAATATTCTTCCATTTCTGTCTGTGTGTCTTTTGCATGTACTGCTATTCAGTGCAATTGTATATCGCCATCATATTAGCATACTTACCAACTATCACAATGGGTATACTTACAACGTTCACAGTGGTATACTTACCGACGTTCTGAATGGTATACTTACCAATGTTCAGAATGGTATACTTACCAACAGAATGTGTTCCTATACTTACCAACGTTCACAATGGTATACTTACCAACGTTCACAGTGGTATACTTACCAACGTTCACAATGTATACTTACCACGTGACGTATAATCCTTTCCATAAAGAGGACATTGAGAGGTTTGTCTTTTTAATCTTCTTGCCTGCATTAACCTTAAAGTTAAGGAAGGTGAGGTTATTTATGTTTATAATGGATAATGGTTGAAACAAAAGAGATGTGGTAGACATCTAGGTCATACAGCACTATGGTAAAGTACTATAGTGAAAAGGGTAAATAAGTTAACGATTAGAATAAAGAGAGTTAAATACAAGAGGTTATAGTGTTATAGGATAGTATGATAGGGGAAAGGGTAAAGAGGGGTTTAAAATGCTGTAAGTCGTATATTAATAAAGGAAAGAGTTACAAGTATATGGCGATTGGATGGCATGGGTGCATCTGTTAGGAAGATATAGTAACATGGCATGGGGTGCATCTGTTGTTAGGGAAGCTATAGTAACATCGCTTTATGAAAAAAATGGTAAAAGAGCTGTTATAAAATGATCAACGGGTAATTCGGGACAGAGATCCTGTTGGAGAAGTAGCAGGAGAAGAGTCTGGGGGAAGAGATAAGGGGATTGGGGAAGGAGGTGAAGTAACAGGAAGAACGTCAGGAGGAGAGGAATCCGGACGAGGATACCGTTGCGACATAAGGGATTCACGTGAGTATCGAGGTGGGAGAGGTGAGGATAATGGAGAACGAAAAGATAATTGTGTTCATGGAGGAGAGGATGGGGTTTGTTGGGAAAGAGTAGGAAGAAGAGGGACAGAGGGATGGATATCGGTAAATACTTTGAATGTAGAGGGACTAGGAAAAGAGGGATTGGAGGGTGGATGAGGGAGCGGAACATTTTCTTGGGTCAGGTCTAGGAATTTTTGGATGTCCCCAAGAGTTTCTGAAGGGATTTGGGTAAAGGTCTGATAACAAAGGATCTCTTGTGAGGAGGAGAAGAGGGGATAGATGTTCGAGAAGCAGAGGAAAAGGAGGGTGTAGGAGAGGTTGTGGAAGGCGAAGATGGAGAAAAACGTTTAGGCTGTCTGGTGTGTCGTGTAAAGTGAGGGGGAGGAAGGGTAGGTATTGGAGAAGTAGAGATTGGAGCATCTGGGTTTCGAATGGAAAAGGGATTTGGCCGGGGGATAGGGAGAGTAGATGTAGGGTGGTTTAGGGTAGAGGATAGAGATACAGAAACATCTTGTGGAGATGGGAGAGGGGTTTCAGAGCGAAGGACTGTTTTGGAATAGGGAGACAAGAAAAAAATCCCGTCGTCTTGTTTCTTGTCTACCTTCATGTACAGTGAGGCCTAGTTTGAGTCTGAGGACTGCTACCTCACATTCGAGCTTATAGGCAGGGCAGCTCCTATAAAAATACCTTATGGATTTACCACAGTTGGCACATGTACACCAACCAGCACATTGGCAGCGATCTTCTTTTGTATTTCTGTGACGAGGAAATAAGCGACAATCCACCAATATAAACTTCATGTCATGTCAACTAATCTTGACGTGAAACTTACGCTGGCCTCTCGAAGGAATAGTGTAGCACTGTACTGCAACTACATCATAATCAGCAAGGTGGGTAAGTAGGGCATTTTCACAATCTGACCAGTTCTTGTATATATATGGGACAATCAGCCGGGGGGATAGAAACAGTTTATTAAGAGAGAGGTGAGGTTCGACAGGAATGAGTTTGCCAGTAAAGTCCGGGTAGACAGTGCACGAGCTTGGGATTCAGATGTAACTGTGACTTGGCATGAACGATCGGAGCGACTGCGAAAGGTAACTACTTGTTTCTGGACACACTGTTGAAAGAGAAGGGTATTCTCCGAGTAGGGGGCTGTGGGGGGAATCACAAAGAATCGGTCCCCCTGGGCTGGGCCAAAGAGAGTACTTATGAGGTTTGCAGAGGTAGAGTTAGTAGAAGGACGAGGTCGAGAGGAAGATGGGTTGGTGCAGAGTGTAGTTCTGTGGGGGGGGGGGGGGGCAATAAGGATGAAGAAACAGTAATAAGGGAAGAGGGGGTAGCCATTGAAGAAGACTGCAGTAGAACACGGAGAAGAAAATGTTGGGAGAGAGAAAAGGGTGTATTCTGGAGGTTGAGTAATAACCTTAAAGTGGGTGGTTCAGGATGGATAGAGTTGTCAGTAAACGTCGAGGAGGGGGTATTAGTATCAACAGTCGGAGCCGTGGTCAAAGGAGGGGCAGGGGTAGGAAAACTATCCAAATCGAAATCAGATAGGCTAGTTGATGAAGGGATAAGCCCTAAAACCCGTATTATGGGTAAAGAATCTTCATTATTGGCCATGGTGTGTGCCTGAAAAATGGGAAAAGAAACGGTCCACCCTTCAGGGTCCCCATAAGGGGGATTAAGAGCTAGGCAATTAACCAAGGAAATACCGTGCCCATGGCTCCCGGAGGCGTCTCTGACATAAAGCCAGCCTTTTCATCCTTTAGCATGGCTCTCCCACCTCAGGAATGGGACAGAAGAAGGGGAATGAAGATACAGAGGAGAAAAAGAAGAGAAGAAAAGACCAAGGAAAATTAGTTGAGACGAGGGCTGAAATCCAAGGTAGGGGAATCCTTACATTGGGTTCCAGTCTCCGTCTCCTTAGCCCCCGCCCCTCACGACGACAACGAGCAAGGCATTGGGAGGGCTTATTTGTGTGGTGACATGTGCCAACTAAATAACAAAAGCTACTCAGAATCGTACGAAGATTGCGGTATCCCATGCAGTGCCCCGAAATAGTGCATACATCTGTATCACCAAAGAACGATGTAGCCTTGTGCACAAATAAAATTTAAAAGCATATACAATGGTATAGAGATGCTCCCAAATAAACTAACTTAACATTACACCGGATCATATATTTCTAAACACTGAAACTTTGATAACAAAACGAAAAGTTATTTAGGACTTTTGAAAGTATCTGCAAAGGAAAAACAGGAAACCCGAAGTCAGCTGGAAATCATTCAAAGGGACGTAAGGGTAAACGTAAATTGGAAAATATTCTCCACGGCATCTGTTTGGAAAACACACAAATGCGCGCAGTGACGCCGATCTTCAATATTATGAGTCGCAATTTTGAGACATTTTGGCTCGCACCCAATTTTCTTTGTCGCAGACATTTGAATTCCATCATAACTAACACAACAAACAAACAATCACTTGATTATTAAATCACTTCTGAACTGCAGGTCTAATACTTTGAAGAAAAACTAGTGCAGTTGCTCGCACCACAAATGTCCTTTGCCTCCAGATCGCACCCCCATACGTTGTCCAAAGTCTATATAAGTACTTATATAGACTTTATACGTTGTTGTCGTTCGCTCCGACGCGTCTGCGAAAAACGACATATTTTCCCGCCGAGCCGAGAAATACACCAGACATGTGACAGAATCCTTTTAACATAAGAATACATACACATATTCAACTGTCTCATACAAAAGGAAAACACACAAAAATAAATTTATAAGACATACTACACATCCATTAACATCCTTTGATTGTCACCTAGAAGTGAAGAACTCTAGGAGGTATGTGAGCAAACTCACGACCCAGAAGACATAATGCAGCTCCTGGAATCTCTTCAGGGTAAGCCTTGAAAACACTGGACTGAAACATGAACCATGGTAGATTTAACAAACATACTTGGAAATTCATATGCAGATAGACCTTGACAGGGTACAAGATCCCTCATGTCAAATAATACCCATTAATGCTGATACAGTCAGTAAAAAGACAATAACAAAGAAACATTATATAAACAAGGTCATTACTTCGAGAATGCAGAATGAAAAGAATAGCTACATCTTTTAACCTCCTGTCCAGAAACAGACCAAAAACTGGCAGCACCTTGGTCTGTTGGAAGCTGCTGTAAAAAGTTAGAGGACAGGTGAGGCTATGCATTTTGACAGAAACTACACACCAACAAAGTATAAAGTGATTGGCCATGGTCAAGATGCACTTATCAATAAAAACATGTACCTTCTTCTCACTTGACATGCCGAGGTTACAGTTATACTTAAATCTGATAATCTAGGAAACTATAGACTAGTCTCCCTCATCAGCAACCTCACCAGGAGGTTCTGTAACAGGACATAGATATTTTAAACATCATTTCAAAAGAAATACTAAAAAACTGTACCCTCCTTGCTTCTCTACTCTACACAACTAAAATGAGCAGCCAAATCCTCCCACCTGAACTCAATACAGAATATCATGGGAGTGACACTGGACCTTACTATAACCTACAGGAAACATTTTGTTAACCACTAAACTGGACTACAAATAATTGTATAATGGCTAGTAGTTAAGACAAAAAAAATGTTCTAGACATCAAAGGACATATAACATAATTGTATAAGAAAGCTTGCTGGAATACCTTGCATAGCATTCCAGACTGTACTCAGAACCTTGGCCCTAGTCCTATGTAAAACAGGTCCCTAATTCCTGTGTCCTGTATAACAAGGAAGCACTGCCTATCTGGTAACCATAAATTTACTTGAAAAGTATTTTTATACTGGATGATTTTTTCTTCTTAAATAAACATCCTTTTCTAAGTTACATTAAAGTTGAGTCACCTAATAAAACAGCTGTCATATGCACACTGATCACAAGTTATTTGAATATGCTGAAGATTCTTGAATTCAATATTTTCACTCAGATCTTTTAGGTGGAAATATAAGTATCTTTGGCGTCCATGTAAAAGTACCTTTGGCCTCCATGTGAAGGTATTTTTAAACATGGGCATTATGAGGATGTCGATACACTTTGGCTAAGGTACACACACTTTAAAGTATAGTTAAAAAAGTAACAATCATAAAATGAGTTTGGTTACTGACATAAAGTTTCTTTTCAAATATACAATGAATAACTTTATGTATTCAACCTTGAAGTATATTTTCTGAATAATACAAAATCTTGCTTTGATTTTTATTAAAAATCCACTTACATAAATGTACACAAATTCATGATAAATGTTAGAGAAAATCCAAATTAATTAATTTTGTATAAAGTATACTATTATTAATTGTTAAATACATTTTCCATAGAACCAGAAAAAAACTATGAAATCATTCTTGTAGCTAAATCCAATAGCTAAGAAATATATATATTTTTTATAATGCTGAGATCAAGGATTTTCTTTTCATTTCTGATGGTTACCACATCTGTTATTTGGCGAGAAACGTGGAGAACCATCAATATGCTATCTAACAAAATAATAATAAATGCATGTAGTATATTATACATTTTAAAATAATGCCCGCTAATTATTTTGTACTAATTACCAGGCTATAACCTCACTTTAAGAAAAACAAAAGACTTTATGCCATGAAATGAATGGAAATACAATGAATTTAATTCCATATGAAATTAATCAGAACAGAAAAGTATTTTTTCAATAAATTGTAGAATCTACTTTACCATAAAAATAAACAGAAATGGAAGTTTTAAAAATTAACGTCTCACCTTTTGAAAAGAATGCTAGCAAGCATTGAAAGTAACAGATCTCCTTATTAAGCGTATGTAGTTCGCATCACTGGAAACACTAGGTATATAAAATATTGAAAGCCCATTTTATTTCAGTAACTTGTAGTTGCTTCTCCGTTTGTCATCAGCACGTTGAATATCCTAAATGCAAATAGTACTTATGGAGTAGCTTGCCATTATTTAATTTTCATCCTTGCACATACACAATTATTCAGATTCTAAGAACTAGGCTGACAAAGCACACATTTGTCACTCAAGTTCAAAACATGCTAGAGAATGTTACAGACACATGCAAAGATACTCAAACACACATTTTTGCATGTACATACAAACACAGATACAAACAAACTGCAGAAATACTTTATATATATCTGACCTTATGCTATCTGGAATTCTTCACTCAATATCAGATTCTTTATGAAATTGCCATTATAAGCCTTGTATTGCACACAATAATAAATTATTACGATTATATAAAAAGTTATCTCTAAAGTATTTTTTCATCCTTTAAATGGTTTTCACCGGTATTAATGTAAAATGCCTGCTGTTCATGTCACTTACTAATTTTATAACAAGACAGTAGCAACATTATGTAACACATGCCTGTTCCTACTCAGTCCTGTGGGTCCTTCAGTGTGTTTTCAGCTAAAACCAAAGGCCGTGACCCTCTCTTGACCTCTCTTGAAGTTGATAAACTGATTTGTTCTGTGATACACAATGACAAATAATTCCTTCATGTCTGTCTCTTATAAATGATGAGTACTTGCATAAATAACAGGCTAATATGAAATAAGAGCTCTCATGATATCCTTCAAGTTAAAAGTTCTCAGACAGAACTACAAGTATTGAGAACAATTTTATTATTCTTTGTTTTTGGCTTATTATTTTAGATTGCAACAAAAGTGAAAATATAAAACAAAATATATAGAGTAAAGACCAGAATTCACATCACATACTATTGTTTCCCAGGAATAAAATCAAGGGGTAGCACATGTAGTAGGATAGTTCCCAATAATAATTGCCTTAAATGACAATTAACATGTTAACTTATGTTCATCTTCAAATTTGATTCATATACCTCATAAACTGGTGTTATAAATTCTTTTATTCATCTGGAAACTACTAATCTATAATATTTATAATAAAAGGCATGTGTGGATTTACTTCTTGCACATCAGCATTCATTAAACATTATATGTCGGCCAATCTACTGTAAGCAGTCAGCAGTTACCTTATATACTATGGACAACAAAATTTTCTTTCAACTATCTCTACTTCTCTAATTACTAGCATATCTTTCTACTTACTATCTCCCTATCTATCTACATATATCTTTCACTTTATCTATTCATCTATCTATATATCTATCTATCTATCTATCTATTTACCCATATTCACATTCAACTATCTGGTATTGGTTTATCATTGGGTTACATTCCCCTTTGACAATTGTTTAGATCTGTAATGAAGAAGTTTCTATGAAATAAACTCCAATACAGTTCTGCTTCTTATACAACATAGTAGTTGGACTTGCAGTGTGCTGAAAAAGAGAATAAATAGTTTATTAACTTATAAATCAGTTTATTTTGATTGGAAAGGAAGCATAAGGAAATGATCTTCCTAAGAAGTCATGGTTTCATATGTCTAACAGAGTTCTACACTTCCTTGTGCATAAGTGCTTCCTTACTCTCAGTGTACATAATTTTTATGTTCTGAAAAATTGCTTCTGTTTTACAGTTGTCTTCACACATGTAATGCAGATGCATCTTCAGTCATACCACAGAGTTCAAAATTGTATTAATGATTAACTTTTGAGTAAAACAAATTGCACTAATTTTCTTGAACATGATTTCGTAAATTTACATGAAACACTGTTATAAAGTATACACTTATGTTAAGGAAACTCACGTTAATATAAATACTTTTATTCATATATTTCGTACATGCACATAACCTTTAAACATGGTACTTCTCCCATGTAGGTCATTTAACAATTAGTAATTAAAATGTCAGAGGGTTATGTCAAACACCTCTGGTAATTTCACAGGCTAAAAGCATTACCTATAAATTCTGTGACAAGATCACTGTCAGTATTCATTTTCATTGAACCTGTGATGTCTTCATTCTCAACCAAAGGGAGGAACAACTGCACAAACTCAACAGTGTATGGCGGTGCCACAATCTCCAACACCTAGAGAGATGAGGAAAAAGATAAATACAATAAAAGTCTACAGGGGAAGAAAAATTTTCATTTCACAGACAACTTTTTACAATAAATGTCTTCATGTCTAAAGAATAATCATTTTCATTTTACTGATAATGAAAAAATTCATATCTTCAGGGAAAAAGATTTTCATTTTAAAGACAATCTTTTCATATGTAGTGTTTTGCTTCATATAGTTTCCTCTTCAGTATGGATGCTATTTCACTAGTTTCATGAAAGCAATAGGAATTCATCCATTTCAAGTGAGAGAGTCAATTACTTTCCTGAATATAACAATACACAGTAAGGAAGAAAATGAAATAATCTAAAAGGAAATTAAAGAAGGCAAATGAGGTAAAGTCAAGTAACTGAAGGGTAATAAAGTTTAGGAAATGAGTAAGAGAGAGAGAGAGAAAAGTCCCTAAGGCACAACCAAACACCTACCAAAAAGGAGACAGATTCCAAAACACAAACACAAAAACAAGCTTACCTCGAACGGAAAGGAGGTCGGTGTCTCCCTTAGTGTAACAGCTCTTGATATACTTCATCACTGGGAGAACGCATCCTCTGCTCAGGAGATTCACCATTCGGTCCAACAGCATCTTCCGCAGCTCCAACTTGAGGTGTCAGGGATTAATTATAAGCAATTAGGTTTATAAGAAAAAGGAAGCTGACATGAGAAATATTGCCAAGTATGTATGGGTCTTATATTGTATATAAATTAATTAAAGAATATGACAGTGCTCTGGATTTACCTTACTGTTAGGTATATCAGTCAGATGTAGCATTCAATATCAAAACAACCTCTGAAACCATTCCTGACAAAGTGGAAGCACTAAAAAATTAAAAAAGGGCAACACTGCCATACATGACCCCCCCCCCCCCACACACACACACACACAAAAAAAAATTTGGCATATATGAGAACATAAGGATAAATTCTAAATAAGCACATTTTGTTTCAACAGTCTAAGTTTGTTTTGAATCTTGCCATAATTCCATCATGTTCAAAACTTTCAATTTTCATACTCAAAGCGTTACAAATGAACAGAATGTTTATTATCCATTTCCCTTCCTTTGAAAACACTAATGAAGAGAAGAGAAAAATAAATGGAATAGAAAAGGAAAAGCAAAGAAATGAAAAAAAAAAAAAAAGAAAGAAAAGAGAAAAGAAGAAAAAAGAGAAAGAAAAAAAAGAAAAGAGAAAAGAAAGAAAAGAAAGAAAAGAAGAAAAGAAAAAAAAAAATTCATGTTAAACACTAAAATCAATACATTAAGGCAACCGTAGAGCTGAGCCGTTGCGGTGTTTACTAAAACGTGGAGGATAAACATCCCCAAAGGCCTTACCTGTACAAGAATTTCTAGGTCTTGGAATTCTGACTCAAAGAGTTCTATGAGGAGATTGAGAACTCGACTGTGGAGGAGGAGGTGTATGGAAACGACCTCATCCAGCAGAGCAAGATGAGTCGGTGTTGTCTCTGTGCAGAGCTTGAAATAACTTGGTTCCTTTACGACGCACTCAATCCAACGGACGAGACCAACGCTCACCACAGGGAACCTGAGTAAGTTACCATATTTCTACTCATGAAGCTGCATATAACAGACCCACTCATATATCAAGTATATGTCTACACTGGGCAAGGTTTAGAAAAAAAAGTAAACCCAAAATAAACAACATAAACATGTTAACAAAGTAAAAATACTTTGCTTAACAAAGATAAAACCACTATTCCAAATATAACATACACACAGAACAAGCTAATATTAATATGACTTATTACCTGATACACTGATACAGTGTATTAATCTCTGCAATTAATTCCATTGCAGACTTCCCACCCTGACAAATGTTGTGGACCTTCTCAATGGCTTGCTGTGTGGGCTTTAAATCATCTCTGTTCACCTGAATAGGTAATAAATATACATACATTAATCAACTCTGCTATGGACCAATGGACAAAATAATGAGTTTTAATGCCACACACATATGCATATACCAAAGCAAAATGCATATGAATAGTAACATGTATTTGTATGAATGTGTGAGATATCAATGATATTGAAAATGGCAATATATGAAGAGAGCAATAACTGCAATAATATCAGCATTTAAACAAAAATAAAACTAAATATATGTCACCTGTCTGGGACGGCTACCCTTTTTGGGAGTCTCATAGACACTCGCACTGTAAGCAAGGAGGTATATGTATTTCCCTTTGTGTTCCTGGTTGACCTTGCTCCCAGGCTTGAACAAAGCATCAATCAGCAACTCTGTTCCGACAAGAAAGAAATAATTAAATTACAACCTTGAAGGAATTAAGAAAAACAACATACAAAATGCCTACTATAGTGATGATAGTGATGATGATGATGATGATGATGATATTGATATTGATGACGATGATGAAAATGAAGATGATGATAATGATATTGATGATGATGATAGCAAAAAGGAAACAGTTTCAAGAGTTCTAGACTCACCTAATAATTGTGGTATACGTATCAACTCAACCAACGGAGGGTCTTGGGAACTGTACAACTTGAAGAGTACAGTAATATCGGCTGGATTTAAGGCATTGCGTGAAAGCATAGGGGCCAAAGCCTGAGCTGCTCTGGGGTGGGTCATCGCACCATTCAGAGCCAACTGGATGGGGGTTACATTGTGGCCGCTGCAAGTGAAAAAATCAAATACTTTAACTGCTCTAAAATTGTCCAAACAGATGAACAGAAAATAATAACAATCAGGGAAATGCTATCAGCATAATTAAAGTTACTTTTCTTTTCATCAAAATAGAAATGACCTTAAAATGGTAAATAAGACCTACTTGTTAATAGCATATTTAGTAATCTCTTGCTGCAATCTTCGAATGTTATTTCCTCCCTTTGTTTCTTGGGCAAGGATCTGCAACATGACCTGTGCGTAGATGTACGTATGCTGACCGTGACACACCATTTTCTGCAATGGAATTTCCAATAAGTAAGATACAGTGCATACACCTTACACACACCTTACACACACACACACACACACACACACACACACACACACACACACACACACACACACACACACACACACACACACACACACACACACACAAACACACACACATATATTCTCACCCAAGAGAAAATAACAGGAAAAATCTTGCTTAGAAAAACCAAACCAAAAAGTAACGCAACCTGTCAAGTAAATTATTAAAGCATCAACTATACTCTAACGCACAATCATTACT